ATGTCATGCTGGACAAGAATCAGAGTCCGAATAACATTTTTTAATATTCGGACTCGAGTCCGAATAGTCACTTCTTCGTTATTGGATACTGGAAAAACCCTACTACAGGTACTTCAGTCCATCACTAGATATAGAAGAGAAGATATTCTAGTGAAATAAGATTAAAAAATGAATCAATGACAATGAACAATGTTATGTAAATAGATCTAGATCTAGTTGAAAAATCTGAGTCTGCAACCTTTTCCTTGTAAAGTATAGGCTAGGCTAGAGATCTAAAGTCTAAAGTGTTAAATTTCTTATCACCTACAAAGTGGAAAATCTTGGCAGAGAAAAGATTCATGGTCAAACTCAAAGTCAGCTGTTGCCAATATAGTCGGCTATACACCTACTGTGCAGTATGGGCAACAGATGGTGAATACACTCTCAACAAGAGAATGAACTAGAACTACAATCAACACAAGAGAAGTTAAACTTTGACACTTGGGAAGAGCTTAAAATTAAAAGTGAAGTAAGTCACAAAATGCAAAGGCTTGAATCCCATATGAACCCATGGAAAAACCTTTAATTTTTCGTCTGGGCCTTACCTGAATATCTTGTCTCTCGCTGAGGTGTGAGCATTGAATTTCACGATATCCTTTGACAGAGACATTGCGCTGAACTACCGTTGTTGCACCAGCAATACAAGCCAACCAAAAGCAACCGTCAAGTCAGACTTGTAAGCTGCGTATTATCAGTTTCCACTCTCTCATGTAAGTCTAAATCTAGACTTATGGGACTTGATTAAAGAAGACACGAGATCGAAAAACATCTCGTTGTCAGTATTCCAGTAAGTTTAAAAAGAGTGTATGGCAAATTCATAACAACATGACAATAGTCGATGAAAGCGTACGTTAAGTTGTTAACGGGTAGGCCTCTAACGAGTTACCTTTCACTTTCAACCCTTGTACCTTGTGAAGGGAAACCACTCTGAAACCTCCAAATATTTAAAAGCAAAAAGCCTTACCTAGAAGCTCTCATAAAGGGAGAACACCGCCGTTTTGATGTACAGACCCGGAAATAGCAGGAGGTAGCCTAGATTATATGCCTAGATATAAAAAAAATTTTAAGCGAATTTTTACTGTTACCATTATTTGTTAATTGTAACCTTTAATTTTAGAGAGAAGTTTCCAAGATTTCTCTACAGAATAACACCAAACAACCAAAACACTCAAGGATATTTATAATAGTCAGATATGGTTGCCAAAATACTGTGTTACATAAGTCGGAATTGAAATAAAAGAGTCATACGGTCAAAAACAAAAAGAAACAACACCAAAACCAAAGGAAAAAAAAGCAAACCCAAAAACGACTTGAAGACAAGCAAAAAATAAAAACGTAGATCTAATGCTCCTTTCTTGTGTTAATATAGACATATTATAGTCTATTAAAAAACA